CTATGGTTTTGTATCCTTACAGTATTAATACCAAAGGTCTCCAATCAGTTTTCCTATGTTCTGGTCTGAATGTAAGAGCTATATATGGAAGAAATTCTTCCCTGTGAGGGTGGTGAGGCTCTGGCACAGGTTGCCCAGAGAAGCGGCCTCTGCCCCATCCCTGGAAGTGTTCCAGGCCAGGCTGGACAGGGCTTGGAGCAACCTGGTCTAGAGGAAAGGTGTATCTGCCCATGGCAGGGGGGTGGAATGGGATGATCCTTAAGGTCCCTTTCAATCCAAGCCCTTCTGGGATTTTATATTTAAAACCAACCACCTTCTCCTTTAGTAAAGGAAGAAATAAAAGATAATCTTGTGTGTACTACTGGAAGTGTTCAAGGTCATGCTGGATGGGCCTTGGAGCAACCTAGGCTAGTGGAAGGTGTCCATGCTTATGGCAGGGGGTGGGACTGGATGATATTTAAGGTCCCTCACAATTCAAAGCATTCTGGGATTCATGGCAGTTCACTAGAAAAATCACAGTAACACAGTCAAGTTCAATTCCCCTCTGTGATGACACGATTCGGTGCCTGGGCACTGATGCCATCCCTGGCTTAATGGAAGCTGCTCCCAAGAACCCTGCAGCTCCTAACACACCAAATCACACTCTGATCTTATCCTCCAACAACTAGCACAGGAATTACATTTTGACTCTTGGGTACAAGCTGCTAATTTAACATGTAAACGAGCCCTGGGAGCTCCCACACAAACGCAAGTCGGTTCTTACCTTTGGTTTAGCCTCTTTTGCAGTTAGGGTGGAGGGACGTGTGGTGCTGGTGCCTGGGCGTTTGGTAGTGGTGGTGGCTGAAGTAGGACCTGCAGTAGGGCTCGTGGGTTTTTTGTTTGCCCCTGAGGCGGCTGAGCTTGGCCGCTTGGGGCTGGTGGTGGCCTGGGGCTTGGCTTTCGCTGCTGCGGGCTTTGGAGAGGAGGTGGATGCGGCAGGCTTTAGGGGTTGGCCAAAAAGCAAAATCCAGGATAAAACCAAAAAAATACAACAAAAAACAGCACATTGTAAACCAAAACATTGAGCTACAAGAACAGAAAAGTGATATTTTAAAGGAAACAAATAATAATAGTAATCAGCTTTCTGTTTTCTGAGCAGAACAAAGGCCAAAATGCTGCAGCAGCCGTGGGGCTGCCTGCAGAGCCAGGGGGGATCTGCCATTCAATTCCAACCCAACAGGATTTATTCCAGCAACACTGAAAGCAACAGAAGGAATGGCTAAAGCTGGGATTAGTAATTGGGTGTTCCTGGCAGCCAGTCCTACGTGCAATACGCAGGCCATCGCTTTCCAATTACAGGCACACATGGATTGCAAGCTCTAAATCCTCATCCGATCAACTCCAGTGGTCACACGGCCGCGAGGGGACGAGAACCTTCTGCCCCCTCCACCCCTCTGAGAACCTGAGTGTGGATTTTGCTGAGTGCTGGAAGCTCCTGAGAGCAGATCTCTCTAGAATAAGTGAACCCCAAGTCCTGAGGAGGATCTCTGCTTGCTAATTGCAATGCAAATAAATGTGTTGTAAACAACTCGGAGAGTATCTGTGGAGCAGAAGTGTTATCCTATATGTTTGCTACTTCTACACCACTGACACCAACCAGAGAATTCATTTAAACAAAGCTTTCCACACACTTCTGATCAAAGCTTTCCACACAGGGAGGTTGTGGCTGCCCCAACCCTGGCAGTGTTCAAAGCCAGGTTGGATAAAGCCTTGAGCGCCCTGGTGTGGTGGGAGGTGACCCTGCCCAGGGCAGGGGGTTGGGACTAGGTGATCTCTAAGGTCCATTCCAACCCCTGAATATTCTATGATTCCACTTATTAAAGACATTTCCAGTCATGTTGGCCATAGGCTGAGCTGTTTGCAATTCTGTGGCAGGATGGGTTTGGTCTAGTACAAGGGTTCACAAGTAGTAGCTCAGAAAACAGAACTTGTGTTGGCAGAGCTGAGGAAGCAGAAAAGCTGGCAAATAAAACCCATGGAAGCAAAGACGTTGAACGCGGGACGGCACCTACCTTGGCCTTCTTCTCTGGGCTGGGGGGAAGCTCCTTGTTGGGAGGAGCAGTGATGTCGTTCCCTGTCACAGCTTCAACTGGTTTGGCCTCCTCTGGCTTAGCTGGGGAGAAGGAAGACTCCATGAGTTTGAGCTTTTTAAAAAATATATATGTTCTTTTAGGTTACTATTACTTAACACAGCAGCAGAAGGAGACAGAACTGAGCCAGGTGCAGGTTGGTATTTCATGAAAATTTCCCAAAAACCAGAATACCTGTAGGAAAAAAGATTTTCCCTGTAACAGGACAGGTACATCCAGATGCTCTTAGCATCCAATTCTCGTATTATTCCAGTGGGAAAAGCCAGACAGCAGATGCATAAAACCTGTGGTTTAATTCAAATTGCAAATCTTTTCATCTTTCTGATGAAATGAAATGAGTTGTTGGAATGTTAATGGTGAAGTTCTGACCTCTTCCAGGTTTTACACTATGACTTCTCCTGAAGTAGGGTCCTGTTTCCAGCTATCCCTATTGCTATAGCTGTTTCTTCTTGACCTTTCTTCTGCCCACATCCACATGCTGCAGCACTCTGTGAGCAGGAAGGGTTCCTGGCAGCCAAAGGGAGATGTGTGCCAATGGGAAAGGCCACACAGGAAAACATACTCCCACCTGGAGTCCAGCTCTGGAGCCCCCAACATCAGAAGGACATGGAGCTGCTGGAGTGAGTCCAGAAGCCCTGGAGATGCTCCAAGGGCTGGAGCTCCTCTGCCATGGAGCCAGGCTGGGAGAGCTGGGGGTGTTCAGCCTAGAGAAGAGAAGGCTCCAGGGAGACCTCAGAGCTCCTGCCAGAGCCTCAAGGGGCTCCAAGAGAGCTGCAGAGGGACTTGGGACAAGGGCCTGGAGGGACAGGACAAGGGGGAATGGCTTCCCACTGCCAGAGGGCAGGGAGAGATGGGATATTGGGAAGGAATTGTTGGCTGTGAGCATGCTGAGGCACTGGCACAGGCTGCCCAGAGAAGCTGTGGCTGCACTGTTCTTGGAAGTGTTGCAGACCAGGTTGGATGAGTTTTGGAGCAACCTGGTCTAGTGGAAGGTGTCCCTGCTCATGGCAGGGGGTAGAATGAGATGGTCCTTAAGGCCTCTTCCCACCCAAACCATTCCAGGATTTCTATGAAAGCAGGAACAGGGAGATCTCGTTCTGACATGTGTGGATCACACAGTCAGTGTGGAAACCCTCGTGCCAAGTTGCCTCACGTGGTGTGTCACAGCACAAAGCTCAGACTCAATTACAAGAACTGCCAGTTTTTCACTGATTTTTTGTTTGTTTCAGACACTGTCACCTGAAGCTGTGACACTGAGTGGGGACAGCGAACACACAGGCTCTTCTCCACAGAGCAGGAGAGCAGCCACCACACCCTCGTCTCCTTTTAAAACCAAGGCTCTAAAGCCCTGTCCAGCAAACCAGCAGAGGGACAACCACTGCCTTCCAAACCACCAGCACAACAAAACATTCATTTAGTAACAATTTCACCACCTTTTCACCTCAAATCTCCTAAATCCTATAGCAGACTCCATGCTGCTTGGCATCATGAGACATGCAAGTGGCAATTTCCCTATGAATCACTTAAACCCCCCAAATTCTCACTGGTGTTGCTGGTGGGCTGTTTTCCATTGCAATTCCTGAGGAATTTGAATTTTATGAGGGATATGGCGCAAACATATTCAGGCATCTTCCGCTGTCATCTGGGGATTAAAATCAATTGCTATCCACGTTGCTGCTGCTTTTTATAGCCAAGCAACAGATTGTAACACGCTGAGGACCCACCAGAGCAACAATTCCAGCAGTAAATAGGTTGTTTTCCACATCTTTTGGAAATTGCTATTTATATTTCACATTTTCTTGCTTGTCAGTCTTGACAGGAGTGTCTCAGAGGATGGTTCAACTCTGGTACAAACAAGCAAAATGAAACCCACCCGTGCATCCCGCCCGTCCTGGCACTGCTCACCAGCAGGATGGGGTTGTTGTTGTGATCTATTTTGCTGACTCCAGGGAAAGTTCAGGAGTCTCTTTTTTCTCCTTGCATTGCATTAGTCTCTTCCTACCTATTCAGCTTTCAAATTTTGCAGCACTGGGCTGAGCACCCTGGGCATGCAAAAAAGGCTTGTGAAGAAAAACAACCGTCAAAATGTAGGCTGAACACCTGTTTTAATGCAAAATTTTTAAGAAGCATTCCTGTTCACCAGGAAACCCCCTTTTTTTGTAGCTAATCTGTATTATCTCCTCTCTGTTTGATTTCTTCACTGAATGTCAATAAACCTTTGTCTTCTCCCTCATTTAACCTGCCAGTTCTCTCCACAGCAATGCCAGGTAGAGCAGTTGTTGTCAGTGGTTCTCGTTCCTGAATAACAATCTCCTGTCCATTCCCTGCTCTCTGCTCCCGGCAATGGCTTTGTACGGAATTCTACCAGTCTCAAATATCCCTGACATCAAGGTGATTTTTTATCCATTGGAAGTTACTTTTCAGGTACTGCTTGACATGAATTATTTCAGCTAATTCAGCAGCAACATAAACCTCTTGCGGGTCACAGGGTTGCACCATCCACACCACCAATTCATCAGCACAGGGAGCCTAATGCTCCTCAAAACCCTGAACTTCCAAAGGTTTAGGATTTTAACTCCAGCAGCTTCCATGCTTCTGAACGAATGACAACATGAATTTCATGTTACTTCATGTTACCTACAAGAAGATTAATCAAAAATGTGCTGCTAACCAAACACCAACACACTCAATTATCAGAGTAGATTAAGGTTCTATAAAACAAACAGAATTTGGGGGTTTTAAATGTAAACCACAGGACTGCACACACAGGGGTTAAGCAACAGCCCCGGGGAGAAGGATTTGGGGGTGCTGTTTGGTGAGAGGCTGGACATACCCCAGCCCAGAACCCCCAGTGTGCTGGGCTCATCCCACAGTGTGGGCAGCAGGTGAAAGGGGATTGTGCCCCTCTGCTCTGCTAAGACCCACATGCCCTGCAGTGCTGCCTCCAGCTCTGGGGCACCAACAGCACAAGGATGTGGAGCTGGAAGAGAGTTCAGAGGAGGCCATGGAGATGCTCCAAGGGCTGGAGC